TATCACACATCAACAGTTTAACAGAAAGTGTGACTGTGGGAGAGCTAGAACCCTAGAACCATATACAGCTAAACAGTCCTATGCTATCACCATAAATAGCTAAATATGAGATAAATGTCCTATGTCAAAAACGCAGGCCCCACAGCCACCTCTTCTGGGAGTATACTGTATAGGGATTATATAGGCATTATATCCATTCCCCACTAAGAAGCAGTAAGTTGTGTCTTCAAGCAGAGGTTCCAGTAGTGGTCGAAATTGGGACAGTCCTCATCTCAAAAAGGCCAGTAACAGCCGGTCCCCGAGTATCCGCATACCCAAAGGATCCATGTGAGCTATGGTCTCAACTCTTTAAAGGGGTTATGCCTTTGCCTGGCTTTACTGCCAAAATCAGGCGGAGCTTTTCTGCCACTCCTCCGCTTGCAAAACATCCCAGGCCACTCCCGCAGCCTAGAATGGCTGACGGCAGAGCAGAGGGCCTCGAAAAAAAATGCAAGCTGGAACTTGCTGGAGTTTTCTGGGCGCAGATTTCGCCAGGCTTATACTCATGGCGTCTGTAGGCCCGAGAGAAAGTGGCCCTTGCGGGCCCAGGGCTTTTGGTATCATGCCTGAGCTGAGCCTGAAGTTGCTGCAGACGTGTTGGAGTCTCAGAGACGCTCTGTGACTTCAGTTGACTGTGATTAGAGACCGTACTTTGAGGACACACCATCTGAAACCAGGCACGCAGGCCTTTACCTGGCTTGTGCATAGTTTGGTAATTGGATTGTCAAGCATACTTTGCCCATTTCGGCTCATCCAGACTCACACGTAACCATCCTTTGCGGCAGCGCGCCACCTGCAAATATGTTCTTCTCCTGCCTGTTCAGAGAGAAGCCTGAGGCCAGCTTGGCATTTTCCGTAACAATTTCAAAAGGAAGTTTGTTGGCAGGTGGTCGATGCCTCAACGCAGACGGAGCCTGGACCAACCACACACTCAACACAAAACCACTCCACCCCCCACCTCCACCCACAACACACAGACAACCCCACCACCACTCACATCCACTTGCACCCAGGCCGCGCCACCACCCCCCCCCAATGAGCCCTGCGCCTCCTGCTGGGCTCATCCACGCAACATCGTCACCAAGCCGTGCCGCCACCTGGCACTCTGCCAGGACTGCTTTACCCGCCTCCGCAAAAAGGAGTGCCCGATATGCCGCAGTGCTATCACGGTCCATGAGAAGATTCTCTCGGCCTAAGGCTGGTGACGCGTTTACCTGCTTCCGGCTTCAGGGGATTGTCTGGCTGTGTGACTTTGGAGACTTGTTTTTGCACTCAAAGGAAGTTGTCACTTTGGCTTAGGGGAAAACCATGCAATCGCCGATGCCTATTGCCTCGGGCATCAAGCGAAATTTGGCTTTCCAGCAGGGCAGCAGAGAGAGGGTTTGGGATTTTTGGCTTTAGGCCCAGGCCCGGCCGGCTCTCCACAAACATATAAGCGTAACACGGAGGATCAGAAAGTTCCCTCTGGCAACAGCTAATCAGCGAGCGCTGCGTCGGGGATATGGATATGGGGTGGGAAGAGTGGGGACTAAGGTCTGACAAAGGCCGGTTTCGCCTTACAGGAATGCGTGCCGGGGCGTGGTGCGACGTTGCCGCGTTCCTTGATGCCTGACATCTCACATGAAGGCTGCCAACGTACGCAGCTTACTGTGAAACACTTGGCACGATGCGTGATGTATCTGCGGTTCCAACAACATAGACTAAAGGCAGCGAAGTATGCTTTTCGAATGCTGAAGGCTTTTGCAAGTGGGACTTGCATGTCTTGATGCGTGACGTGCTCCATGATGTTGACATTTTTCATCTTGTGCTGTGCTTGCCATAAACTGCCATCATCCCACGTGCTAGTCGTCACGTATGCTGATGATGACATCTACCGGCACTTCCGAGCAGTGATCCAGTAGCCTTGTGCGCTCTGCCTTGTTGCCTGAGTTCTTAGCGGGTTGGTGTAGAGCTGTGACCCGCCTCTTCAAACTCATTTTTGGCCGAGCTGACTTCTTCAAGCATCCGCGTCCCGCCGTGCTTGAGGATTTCAGCGGTAGTTTGTGAGAAAATGAGATTGGGTCCGTCACCTGCTGGCTGGAGCCTTGCGCCGCTAGCTGAGCGGTCGTGTGGATGTGCCGTGTTCTGGCACAACTCTGCTACGGCTCCATTGCTGAAGCAAGCTTGCAACATTGCGCACCCGATGTAGTAATGTTGTTGTCTGAGTTGCTTTGAATGATTTGAAACAAGTTGGCTTCATGACAGGTTGCAGCGGCGAAGCATATGAGGAGCCGATGTCGGGGCAGAAAGTTGCCTTGCACAGCCCTGGGCCTGTTACATTGTAGCCTTTTACGCGCCAACACTCAGAAGTCCGCATCCGATTGGTAGTGCGAACCATTGTTGCACATGCAAAGGCTGGCCCTTGATGAGTGGACCTGAAGTGCCACCGGAAATTTGAGCGACAAAATAGGCCAAACATCAGCGCCGATCATGCAATAAGTTCCACGCGTCATGCTACCATACATCTTTTGCAGCTTTGAACAGCAAACCAGGTCGCCACGTTTCTCGTGTTGCTGATGGACGTTGCGTGAGTGTGTGACAAGCTTGGAGGTTTTGCGGGTCATGCATCTGAAGGGCGGAAGCGCCATGATTGATTGTAGCTAGCTTACTGATCGAATATTTGGTGAAATACACAAGCCGATAGTTCTCAACGATAATTTACACAGCCTTGCATGGGACGCCTTCAATGTCCGTACGGGTACTTTACATGTGGGCCCAACCCCATGACCCTTGGTTATTTGGGAATTCGCGGATTTTGGCTCCAGCACGTTGATGTAACTAATTTACCCAGCCCGTGCGCTGGGTGAGCCAGGCGCCCAGCACCTGTTTCCGAATGTAGGAAGGTTGCAACGTCTGCACTATTTGAAGTTAAGTAAATCCTTGCAGTAAGGAGCTGTTGTACATGCATATGTGCCAACGTCAATTTGTAATAGTACCAATGCAGTCCTGAGATAGTTCACCGACTGCACCCTAATGAGTCTTGTGGCTCTTGTTGTCCTCCGTTGTTCAAAATGCGAACAAGCTGAGGCAGTGGGAATGCCGCCGCGAGCCCAGGGATGCCGAGCATTCTCCAGCAAACATTGATACAGCTTCCTCCCCAAACAGATGCATATGTGGCCTATGCATATGTGGCCTGAGATCAGATGACGCCTTCTGTTGGTGAAGCAGGTGAATAAGGTTTTCAGTTTTCAGGATCCTTTACAGATTGCCAGCATTTTTCCCAACATATTTGGGGAGCAAGCCCCCTCTTTTCTCTTTTTTGTGCGATTGCCCACAGAAGTCCTCGTTATTGCTTTTTAGAAGTTTCAAGAGTTAGCGAGGATCCACGGCATCATCGTCCTTCGGCTCCATGACCTGAAAATCTTGAACCCCAAGCCACATGTTTCTCGCTGAGTCCGACACCTCCGGAGCCCGGCAAGCCGCCCCAACGGCTGCAGGACACAATCGTAATCAGAGTTCACCTCAGTCCTACTTAGGGTCCAGTGCGCATGGGTGTAGAGGACTCCTACAGGTCCAGCATCACGTTCCTGCTTTGCCCTAATAGAATCCTGACAGGCTACCCAGAATGGATAACCCTGTTTGCGGACTTCATCTTGGTAACGCTAGCGGAGTCTGATAAAACTACTTCCGCTACTAACTCCAAACCCCTACAAGCTCCTGCTACTGCCGCAGAAGCTCAGCGGACAATCGCAAACCATGTGCAAGCACTTTGAAAGCCCAACCTTAAAAAAAAAAACAACGCGCAGATGGCAAGGAAACCTGAGCATTCTTCTCTGCAGGACCCATTGCAAGATCGGCCAGTCAAAGAGGCTGGTCATGAGGCAACATGGCTTGAAGAAACCAGCCTTCTGTTGGCAGGTGCCTTTGCCACCCGCGCAGCTGCTGACGGCAGAAACCTTCTACGAAAAGTGGAGCTGAGCTAGTTTGAGCGCACACTTATGGCCGGCTTGAAGCAAGGTGAGCTTTTGGGCAAGAGGTGCACGCTGCGGCCTTGCTTGTGCAGCCAGGAATGGTGAGCCGAACATGCCTGTGCTCATGGAACATTTGTCAGGGCCCTCAGCAATACTGCAAAGTCTGAGCGTCTATAGTCAACCATGAGTAGATCGAATATGGAATTCCCTAAAACCATATTAAGATCCCCATGTACCTCAAATTCTATTCTATCTACTTGAGGGAGACTATACTTCCCCTGGCTTGAAACTTCGTGCATGCATCAGCAAGCGCAGGATTTTGGAGGGAGCTCTGTCGCAAGAGCTTCTCTTGGACATCATTAGCAAGGCCAGCTGCCTTGAAGCAGTGAGGGATGAGGTTGGCACAAAGCTGTTGATGATATCCAGGCCTCCGACCTGTTCAAGGATGAACCTAACTTGCGCATTCCCCAGCTTTGCCTCAGGAATGGTGCTTGCTTGTGTCATGAACCCTCAAAGAGGATCCCTGATTTAGGAAGCCATGCCTCGAAAGTCGTCAGATTCAGCTTGCCCCCAGGTTGAAACTCAACGACCCCATCACTGTAGTCGGAGACATCCACGGCCGGCACCTCTGAGCTTCGGGTGGAGAAGAACTATGGTAAGAGTAAGAGTCAGAAGGCTGTTGCTAGTAAAGATTCTATCTGCTGTAAGGCGACTCCTGTATGTTGCTTTCGTGTTTGTTCTGCCGTTCAGCCTTTTTGGCAAGGAATTCTTATGTACACCCAGAAGGGAACGGCTAAAGTAATTGTGTCACAATTGCCTCCCTCAGAATCAACCCCCCGCCCACCCAGCGCTGAATACTGAATGCTCGTATTCTCGATATGGCACTTTTTCATGGCAGGGGTGTCATTAGTGAATTTCCCCGGTGGGCTGACCACAGGAGATCCAGTGCTCTGCTGAGGCCAATACTATGACCTCGTGAAGCTGTTGGAGGCGGGGTTTCGGGAGAATAACATGGGCAATATTCTGCCGGGTTTAGGATGATCTAGGAGTATCCCGAGGCTTAATGGTTTTTCAGAGCCAAAGAGTCTCAGTTCCGAATCTTGTGTCCACGCCGCGTTGCAAGCCCATGTTCTTGCAATCTTGGCGGTCATCTTCACAATTTCACTATTTCTGCTACAGTCTATCCTCATACAGCACACTAGTAAGGCATGTGCCGCACTTTACCTTAAATTCCTGGCTCCAAATCCTATTGCCTCTAGGCCCTACTTGCCTGATCCTTAGACTCCAGGCCCCCCTTTCCCAATTCCCAGAGAAGATTCCAGGATGTTCACGTGTGACAGGTAGGTGGACAGCCTGGCGAGACCCAGTACATCTTCCTGGGGGACTATGTGGATCGTAGCTTGGTGATGATAGTCAGAATGATCTGCCTCATTTGGAATTCCAGTGATTGCTTTTTTGAAGCCAACCATGCGAGACTCTGCGCTTTCCATGATTTGGTGACCCCCAAGCCCTTAGCCCCAAATCCCTGCACCCTCAACGCTAAACTCTGCGCCCCACACCCTACACTAAACACCCATCGGAGCAACTCAGGTGGTTCTTTTTCCGTGGAGGCCGGCTGATAAGTTCATGACCTCGATGGTTGGACGATCACGCTCTGATGCTGTCCTGGCAGGTCGTTGCTGTGCTGTACTCCTTGAAGATCAAGTATCCTAAGCAGGCCACTTCTGCGTCTTAGAGCCAGATGCTGGTTGCTAGAGGGAGTACGGAAGTACAGAGGGACATTGACAAACTGACCAAGCATCACGCGATCGTAGTGGTATGATGAGATTTTCGTTCCGCCCCGGAGAGGTACGAATGCTCAGAGGAAACCACGAATGCCGACAGATGACGTCATTCTTTAATTTCCGAGAGGCGCGGAAGGGCTGCTTCGCTATCATGACATGTTCTAAAGAGCTCAAAAGGGTCTTATGATTGTCGAGTGGCCCTGGCTTTAGATGTGGGACTTTAACAGGGTGCTGCGCATTTTGGGGCATGGCAGGAGTGTGAGTACAAGTATGACATTGGAGTCTACAACGCTTTCATGGTCCGGGCCTCACCTGCCAGCAAGGTGCTCTGCCACCTCAATGGTCTTGCATTTCAGGTACCCAGGGTCCAAAAGACCAATAGTATAGTTTGACAACCTACCATAAACAGCGGATCGGACCTATCAGGGCTGCTTATAACTCTTCCCTCCTAAGAAGCCTCAATACTCAACCCAAGCCATTTTTCTGCAGGCTTTAAACCTCTACACTTAGACCTCCGAACCCTAAACCTTAAACTCCAAAGCCTTATCTCTGGCACCCTAAATCTCTTAAACCTAAACCTTTGGCCACCCGGGAGTGTTCAGAAGTCGGCCTAAGGACTCCTTTGACAATCTGCCCTTAGCAGCAACTATCAACGGCAAGTCCGGGGGCCTGGAGACTGTGGGATTTGTGCAGCTTCAGGCTTCTTACTGGAAGGATTTGGGATTGAATGGTTTCAGGTTTGGAGGATGTAGGAGGTGTGTGAGTGAGTTGACTATGGATTTTTTCGGTGTGGCCGAATTGTAACGGGCTCCCTAGCTTCAGCGATTGTGGTCTCTATGCTACAAGTAGCGTTGTCATTGCTTCCGGGTTAAGATGGACGACTGCCATGTCTAGGGCGTAAGTAGTGCCTTGGAATGTAGTCAACCTGCCGTATTCACGTTTTTTTGTGTAAGGTCAGCCGTTATTCATGGTTCATTGGAGTTAGTCGCATTTCTAAGTAGCCCACTTGATCAATAGAGACTTGTTGTCTCTCAATATTCGCGGCATTGGCATCATGAATGCTACTTACAGTACTGTCACGTCTGGTAAGCCCTAAACCGAACCCACGCGCTCCAAGCTGTCAGCCCCAAACCCCCAACTCCTGAGCCCTGAACTTAAAAAACCCGACAGGGCTGCAGCCTGAGTCTGTTTAGGTTCCTTTGCGTTCACGGCGGGCTCTCTCCAGACCTTGGCAACGTCAAGGCGCAAGCTTGTTCTACGGATTTTGAATTCTATAGGTTTCGGGGATAGTGCCAAGTTATTACTACATGTAGCCTTCTGATCACGCTCTGTGGCTTATGTGGGGGTGTCTGCGCAAATCCGCTCAGAATTGCCTCTAAAGAAGTGGAGAGATCACCATGTACACCACAACGCAGGCCATCACGAAGATCAACCGCTTCACCGAGCCTCCCAAGGAAGGCCTTCTGTGCCACCCAGCTGCACGGAGGGCATGGTTTAGGGCTCACGGCTTAGGCTTCAGGGTTCGGGGCTCAGGGTTCAAAGTTTAGGGTTTGGCGTGTAGGGTTGAGGATGTGCTATATGGGTTGGGGTTGACAACAGCAAAATGCCCTTTTCCTTTTTCATTACTTGTTGAGACAAAATAGGCTTTCTCCAAGAGACCTATTTGAGGCATTCCCTACCAGAATCTCATGACAGTTGAAAGGTCCTGCTTTCGGGAGGGATGACGCTGGCCTAAGAAGCATCCTCCACCACTCTGCGCCTTATTACCTTTATTCAGTCACCTGCCTATCCTCTCGAGGCCTTGATGCTCAACATGCTTCGTTATTAAGCAGAATCCGCAAATCCAACATAGAAAGAGCAACCCTAAGCTTCTTGCCGAAGTCTGGATTCAGGTTGCTGGTGCTTGTGTGTGCATACTGTCAGGATTGTGCATCACTTCAGCCCTGAACCGGGAAACGCGCACAAAACTCCAATGATTCACCCTAATCCCTAATTTGGGGTTTTCAGAGCAAGTAGGATGTCCTGAGTTTTGAGGGGGCTCCCAGGGCTTGACCAGCTAAGGTGACCTGTTGTGGTGCTGCCCTGAGCTGCCGTGATGGATCACTTGCCATTGCTGTTCAGAATTTGAATATGTTTGGGGTTTGGGGTTTTTGAACCTAAGGTTTAGGGCTTGGGAGTTCGTATTGCTCAAGTGACTCATATCTCCAGTCAAGCTTGTCTGGCGTTGCGATGATTGCGGTCATGATCTTTTGCAGCTCCCACTATCCCTGCAATGGATCCCAAAGTAATGGAATCCTCAACGATCTAAGCTTGAGATCCCAGGATCCCCCCCCCTCCCTAGGTATTTATCCTTGGGTCTGTAAGGGTAAGACCTTGTTTTGGAACCTCCTGCACTGAGATTCCATGTCAACATGATTTCCAAGGTCAGATCCCCTTGAACCCAAAGACGGAGAGCAGTGACATCCTCAGAGCCTGCAAGACCAAGCATCAGACTGGGCATCGGGTGCAGGATGTAGAGTTGTTTTCGGATGCCTAGGGCAAGGGTTTAGCATGTAGGTTCTTAGGCTACGGGTTTGGTAGCTTTAGCAGGGTCAAGTATGGTTTCGTTTGGGTTTATCTTGGGTTCTGGGTTCAGGTGCCTTGGGTAGATTGGGTGTCCGTGCGTACCATGGGCCAGGTGGTCTCTATCCGGCATTGGTGTCCCCCCATTTCCACACAAATGGAAGTGTGGAAGCTGACATGTGAAAACAGCGCAACCTGGCTGATGGCCCTCCACTAGGCCGGACGGTACAATCTACATTTTTTGTACATGTTTATCATCCAATGCCCTAAACCAGCCCTGAAACTCCAAATCAACAACCCTTACCTTTGGATGCGGAACCTTGCGCCCATAGCCCTAAATTAAACCCGAAACCCTGGACCCTCAGACCTAAGCCCTGAAGTCTCAGGCGGCCGAGCGCCAAGAAGGGCGGCCCTCCCTTCGTACCCAACGAGGCCTGATCTCTTAGTAAGCCCAATGGGTCTGAGTGCTTAGGGTATATACACGAATAGGGTCTGGGGTTTACACAGCTTTGGGTTCAGTGTTAAAGGTTTGGGGTTCCCTGTAGGCCAGGTTGGTGCGAACTCAAACTTCATGACGCTTTCTCGATCCGCGAACTTCCAAGCAGCAGAGCTACTTTGACTTCATGCGGGAGTTTCTCAAACAGTTCAAGACAGCATGGTTCTCATCCCACTGTGGGGCCCGCAGATGTGATTTTCTCTGGAGCCATGTTGCACGTACCGCCATAAGCCCCGGGCCCTTGCACACCTAAACTCTCTCTGCCTAAGCCCTAAATCATCTTTCAACTGACTTCGCGCTTGGCAGGTCCGCGGCTGTTCTTATTTCTACAGCCCGGCCGGCATGGTTGTTGTCCTGCTTGCGACGTAGCATCCTTGAATTTAAAAAATATTTCTCAGGACTATAAGAGTGATTGCGAGCTGCAGATTTATCAACATTCAGGTGGAGCAGTAGTAGCACTTGCAGGAATACCAGCATTATCTGCCAGATCAGATTGATGCTTTCATGCCCAAGCCTTCAGCCGCGCGTGAATCAGGAATCAGCATGACAGGTTTTGACGGAGCCACAACTTTTCTGAAGAAGAACAACCTATTGTCCAAGCCCTAGCACGGTGCCTGCCAGAGGGCTTAGGGATTTTTGTGGTTCAAAATGAGCTTGCACGGTTTTGGGGTTCAGTGTGCTTTCTCGTGCAAGGCATCTCCATGTGCAGGATGCACTTCGCAGCTTTGGCAAATTACTTCTCCACGCGGGGAGTAGTCTGTTAGCTTCGTCACATCACCACAAATATAGCTTGATCTCCATTGAAGCACCAAGACGCGCTTTAGGGTGTAGGGTTTTATTGTCCCAAATGTCTTGTAGTCCGCCGTTGGCTCTGGCCCCAGACTAAAAGCAAGGATTGTTGATCATCAACGCAGACCCCTACGTATTCTGGCCATGTCCCCAAAAGGGCCCCTGAAGAGTCGCCGACAGGCCGAAAGGCCTAGTACGTCTCAGTACTGTGAATTGGACTAAGGTCGATCATTCGCGCTCATGAAGCTCAGCTTGAAGGCATGGAATTTGAGTGACCTTGCTGATGCTTAAGCTGGTGCTGGAGAGAACTCCCGAATGATGCCTCTTATCCTCACTCCTCCATTGTGAGGAACCAACCAGTAGTATCATGATGAACAACAATGGTAGTGAGTATGAGTGGTAAGCAGGAGTCGAAGAAGTGGAGATGATAAGAATCACAGGAGTGATGGATGTGCCGTTCAGGGTTCCAGGTCACTCTTTTTATAGTTCCTACTTGATCTCTTAGAGGCTTGTGGAATTCCACGAGACAAGGAGCCTTAGCAGGTATGAGTGAAATTACAGCCGTTCCTACTAGAATTGGAACACGTGCATTGGCTGCAATTTCTACCAACAGAGAGGAGACCGCGTTAGAAATCTGTCCCTGCTTAGCAAGCAGGCTACAAGATGCACAAGACGAATCCAAGCACTGGGTTTCCTCTTGTGGTGGGCTTGGCCTGCGTGCAGAAGCCAGTAGAGGCGGAAAGTGTGCCAAGATAAGCTTTTCGTATTTGTAGCGTACCTGCAATTGTGCGGAAGACTGTTCTGCAGTATTGTTGGAGTTGGAGTTCCGGTGAACAAGGTGCAACAAGACCACGCATGCCCAGGTCATAACAATTTTCTCCGCGCCGAATTACTGCGATGTTTACAATAACAAGGCTGGCTGCTATGCTTGTCCGGACCGGCTGCAAAGCAGAACATCGCAATTTCTCGGCATCAAGGTATGTACAGAGCATCGCAAAAACACTCCATGGGGGACTGTTACATGTTGAGAAGCTGTCACACATGAGATGCTGGGCCAGGGAGCAATTCTCAAGTTTGACAACAGCACCCTAAACATCCTGCAGTTCAACTGCTCGCCGTAGCCCCCCTGGCTTCGAGAAGCAGTGCTGGCTGGGATTGTTCAAGAACCCTTGTCTCCCAAACCCCAATAATGTGCCAAAATATACCCATAATATTCCATAACCTACCATAATATTCCCATAACATACCATAACCTACCATAATATACCCTATACCTCTCAGTACTGTTGGGATCTTCAGGGCTTCAGTAGGATCCTAGCAGGGATTTGTCGGGAGGATCCTCGCAAGTCTGGGGCCCTTGTTCGGGATCCTGCAGCAAGGACCATTTGCCTTTCAGTCATCATGTTGTGGTTTGCCGGGGGCCCCCTAGTCTGGGAGATGTCTCTCGAAAACACACATCAAGCTTTTGGAGGTTGAGTGTTTGTCCTTTGGTTCTGCTGACCGGCAACTATGCTACTGCTACTCTTCTTATGTTTCTTCTTCTTCACATCTAATGCCACCAACTGCAACTACCAGAGCAATGATGCCTTTCTTCCTTGCTGCCAATACCCTCCACGGAAGAGTGGAGAGAAGATGCGCTTGCGCCTGAGGCACCCCTACCACCTGTCGCCTTCTCAGACGCCAGCCGATGCAGCCACACATTTGTTTATTGGGCGCACCGTTGCATGAAGAAGTGATTGGTAGCTGCAAACTGTATCACCGAGTCACTGAGAGCAGGAATGCCACCAATTATGAATAAATTCCAGGAGAAAACTGCATGGAGAGAAGATATCAGATGTGAACCCAGACTGGGTAAGTTTCACGCAAGGCTATTTGAAGTACTCATGCCCATGTACTATATGTGCTCCTGAGGCCTAACTTCATGGATGTTTTCCAGTGGAGCATGCCCTTCGTCATTGAAAAGGCTGGCAGGGCTGGAAGTCAATTGCCTCTCCATGGCATGGCCACTTAGGTGTTTAAGGTGTAGGATTTAGATTTAGAGTGTGGGGCCCTAGATGCTGCCATAAAGTGCCGAGAAACAAGTAACCACTAATCTGAAGACCCAACATCTCCAAACTCCCCAAACCCCTAATGCTAAACCTCCCAAGCTGAGAGGTGACAGAGATGCTTTACTACATTCTCCAGCCTGCAGCCGGAACTGTGGATTCCGACGATGATTCCGTCCAAGACTAAGGAAGCAGCGCAGCGAAAGTGAAGTTTCTGTTTACAATGCCTGTGCGGGCGAATTCTTCCATCCTCCGCAGAGTATTTGGGCATTCGTTCTTTTTTGGTGGGGGCAGCATCAGTGAAATATGATGCAGCAAGGCCAGCTAGACAAGATCAGTGAAAGTATCGTCTGAGTTACTGTCAATAAGTAACTCGTGTAATTCGAATAAGGAACCTATGTCCAGTAACCATCTGAGCAGTTCGAGAGAATCAGGAGACCTTGGGAATCAAGGTTGACTCGCAAATGCTCCAAACAGGCACAAACCGATCCCCATTGAAGGAGAATGGATACATCCTCAGAGTCGATTCCCACCTCTTCTGCGACCTCCTTATCACTTGCCAAACAGAACAGTAGCGCAACCGAACCTGGCATAGGAGCTATTCACAAATTACCCCATCACCCCTTTGTGGTCCCAATGTGTTCCTAGGGCCCTACCGGCCTCGCCTCTTCTTTGAGCACCCACATCACTTCACTCTTTCCCACTATGTCCTAAAAGAAAGAGATGCTGACCGGTTGCCAAGTCCTTGCCGGCTTTGCCGGATTCGAATTGGGTCAACCATAGAGCCGGCGACTTAGTGTGCCCCCAGCGGAGGTTTTGGTGTTTCCCGTCTTGGGGAACGACAGTCTTGGCATGCTACCGTACCATGTGGCGCTGCAGTGTGCAGGGCTTGGGAGGTTTCTCGAGGCGTAGTAGCAATCAATTGTGGACCCAACGGGCATGTAGGGATTGTGAGGAGGCAATGGGGGTCCTGAGGATTCCACAGAGGTAACTTTGAGTATGCATGAGGGTATGATTGCTTTAGGTTACTTCCGCCGCGGGAGAGACCCTCTATCCTACCTGAGTGATTTCTCGCAGGGAGGGCGGGGAATGGAGGTCACTGGGTACCCAGAATATTCCCTCCCCAAGCACACCTTAATCACCAGTAAACCCTATAGGTCCCGAACCGGAAGCCCCAAACCGTGAACCCAAGAGAAAAGGAACAAGGAACAAAAACCAAACTCCTGGGAGGCCTCGCTGACGGACGACCAGAACCAGGCCTCGTTGCCATGATTGTTCAGGTACCGGTAGCAACAATAATAAGACTACAGTAGTAATAAAGTGAATAACGAGAATAGTAATAATTTTAGTAGTAGTTGTAGCCTGTCTACTTCTTGGATATCTTGAATGAGAAGCTTCCTTGCGCTTGCCTGTCGCGTTCACGTCTCAATTGGTGAGTCTGTCGTAGTTCACGCTTGCAGTTCTGCTGCTTCTCGCTTTGCACTTCTTGTCTCAGCAGCTGCTGGTGCCCTTGATCTGCACTCCAAGCCCTACACCCTCACCATACATCGTAAACCCCACACCCAAACCTGCACCTCATACGTTCTTCCTGCCCAGACGGTGGATATGGCCACACGCCTGGCGGAGCGGTCCTCAGATATTAGGTTGGAATCTACGAACTAAGGGTTCAGATAGTTCTGTACAACATTTCAGTGCGTGTCTGTATCTATACCTACATGTAACGAGAATGATACATGGGTAGATAGAGTGTAAGTATGGGCCTCAGATGAAGAGCGCCGTCATGTTTGGAGCTTGATCTTGGCACATTCCCAAATCTGGAGACGTCCTAAGGTTAAAGTGGTGTCTGAAATGCTGTAGCCTTCTTGACAATGTAAGTTGAAGGCCACAAAGATCATCAGGGTGCAGAAAAAATAAGTGATGACAGAGGGAGTCTTGAAGATAACGGGTCCTGTTCTGGATCCTTACAAGAAGGATAGCAGTCATTTTGGTTCATTACCTAGCTCCTCTCTTTCTAGGTCCTTTGGGTCCGCGTGGTGAACTGACAGTTTCTCGAACCCCTTTGTAATCCTTACAGCGGGAACCGTATGATTTCCTTTTCATCCTCTTTGAGGCCCCACTGCAAGAAACCTCCATGTGGGCTGCTGCAGGCGTTGATCGCAGGCGAGAACGCCAGGGAAAAAGAAGCGAGCGGTTCCAAGGCCACGGCCGGTGTCTCTTCCTTGCGGGTGGCTGTGCTGTACTGTTAGGAAGGAAGGACTGACCCTCATGCTTCAAGCTTTGCACTCTCAAACCCGAACCCCGACAAAAAGAAATGGACCGGCGCACCCTGTAACCCTCAAGCCTTAACCCTAAAGTACACTCTACCTCCATTCACCTTAAACCTTGACTCCTATAGTGTGTATTCTATACCACCAAAACGCCTTATAACTCTAAAGAACCTCACACAATCCCTATGGATCCTAATATAGTCCCAAAATCTTCACATGTAACTAGCTGGTCAGGTGGACCCAGAGGTTCGAGACCGAATGCGAAAGAAGGTGCGATCCATCGCCAGGCCGTGGGGGGCGGGGATCAGAGAAGGACAGGGTTAAGGGATTGGGGATTTGGGGTCTATGGGGTGTACGCTTTAGGGATTAGGGTGTCAAGTTTAGGGCTGCAAGGGTTTAGAGGTCTTCAGTGAATGGGGCGTGGGGCTTAAGTTGTTTTTTTCTTTCGGGGGTGTTTGGGGTTAAGGGATTCAGGGGTATGTAAGCTTACAGTCAAACGATTTAGGGGGTTCCGAGAATTCAAGTTTCGGGGTCTAGGGCTTAAAGGTTTAGGGATCCAAGTCTGAGGTTCGACAAGTTGAGGGTTTAGTGATTTAGAGGTTTCAAGTTTGAGGAATTAAGGGGGTTGCAGCTGAAGGCTTAAGGCTTTGCAGTTGAGGGGTTTGAGGCTTGCGGGTTGATAAGCTCAACTTTCAAGGTTGAAGGTTCAGGGTTAAAGTTCAGGGTTTAGGGATTTAGCTTTTCAAGTTCAGGGGTTGAAGGGTTTTAAAGTTTAGGATTTAGGTCGTTGGGATTTAGGCGCTTCAAGTTCAGGGGTTTAAAGCTTCAGGAGTTTGCGGCGTAGGGCTGAGGGATATTGGGATTTGAAGGTCAGGGTCTTTTCTGCTTTAGGTTTGGGGTTTGGGAGGCTTGAAATTCAATTTACGGTTGAGGGATTCAGCGCTTTTAAGTGTAGGCATTGCGGGGGTGAGTTTAAGTTTAGGCTTTAGTAGTTTGGGTTTTAGGGACTCAGGGGGGTTGGGGTTCTTGCACCTGCTTATCTTGAGATGTTAGAGCCCTTGTCTGCTTTGGGACTTGACAGTTCAGGATTCAGGGGGCTTGGGTGGAAAGAAGGGCTGCAGCTTACTGAAAGACTCTGATGTTAGCTTGTCGTACATGATTTTGACCAGCTATGCCCAATGACATTCTTGCCGCTTCTGCTGGGACCTGTATTATCATGCTTAAAGACGTAAATGCTCGTGTTCTTCTCGTTCCGGTTATGGATAGGAAAGTTTGTATGTTCATAGCATTTTGCCGTGCTCATGTTCATGAGAGACGCAACTTTTTCTATGATGCTTGCTTTCACTTCACTGACGCACCTTTTCCTCACCCAATTTCTCTGTCTTCCTGCAGTACTGCTACCACCACGACTCCTGCTCCTGCACTTACTCCAAGTCATTCCTGGCATGCTGATGACAATCCCGCCAGGATGGCCCGCATGTTCAAGACACTCCGGCAGGACAGTCTCTTTAGCTGGTAGAAGACTAGGGATATATTACCTACAGAGATTATATAGGGATTGTAGTATATAGTTTTATATAGGGTTGTATAGGAATCATGGAAGAGGAAGTGGCAACTACCCATCTACAAGTTCAAGTTTCTCTGGGAAATGGTTGCTGGCGGCAAGGGCAACACACAGCCGAAGCTATAGGATTTCATGGGTTTTTCAGGGTTCCCGTGCAGACATCATGCTAGCTATGCAGACCCTGACAAGGGTGTCTCTAGGTGTGTCTTAGAGAGGTCCTCGCATACAGGGCCCCCTTTGTTCAAGCTACACTTTATTTAAAGTTCTGATGTTTCGCCGACGAAGTGTTTTGCAGGAATTTCTGACTCAAGCTGTTGTGGTCACCCTGATGCAGGAGAACGAGACAGTTGTGCGTTTGAAGGGCGTGTGCCCAGGTCCGGCAACCTGGAAATTGCTCCTTTTTTAGGGGTAGCGGGTTCCTGAGATGGAGGTGCCTTCCGGAGTTCCGAAGCCTGTCAAACCCAGGTCCTCCTTGATCGGCACATTATTTTGATATAGCCTTTAGGGGCTAGCGGTCCTTCCTCTTTGCTCTCCATAGAAGTTCCACATTCATGATTAAATCCGTTACGCCAAGCCCGCTTTGAAGTCTCAAGCTGAAGGCTATTAGACCTCTTATTCCATGAAGCCTGAAAAACCTGAGCCACCAGAGCCTTGTGAATCCAAGCTGGCAACTTGCGCTAGAGCCCCAAATCTTCAATCCCATGCGCTGTAACGCTTAAGCGGTAGCGCTCCAGATACCTGTGCTCCCCAACCCCAAATGCCTATGTATGAACCCAACTTTGAAGAAGGAAGGTAAACAGTGTTCGACCCGAGTCTCAAAACCCTAAATCCCTAAACCCCAGATCCCTACACCTGAAATCCCTAGACCCCAAATCCCTCATCCCCTAAACCCTTCGAACATCTGGGCTTTAGGCCACAAGCTGGCACCTGGTCTCCTTTTGGCTGGCAAGGAGAGGTTTAGGGTCTAAGGTGTTTAGGGTTTAAGGAGAGGTTTTGGAGCATCAGGTGTTGGGTTGTTCGTGTTTTTGTCATTGGTGGGCGCGGTAGGTAGGTGGGTGTTACTGTAGCATTTGGGGGGATGGGATTGTAGAGTCTAGGGTTTGTAGGATTTAGGGTCTAAATGATAGTGTTAGGTGTGGGATTTGGGCGTTTGGATTCAGGCTGCAGGGGTTTGAGGTGGCTACTTTCGAACAGTTTCTCAAGATCATGGACCCCTAGTTAGTGTCGCAGTGGGCATCGGCTTGCAGACATGTAGCGTGGAAACCCTCCTCTTATAAAGCGGAAAAGGACGCGGAACAGCGATAGTGTACACCGCAGTAGACACAGGATTTACTTGATCCAAGCCTCGCGAGGCTTCTAGAAGCAAAGTGCACAGAGAGAGTCAATAGTCATCCAGTCTAGGGCATTCAGGAAAGAACGGGGATTCTGTCTTTACAGTGTTTGTTTGTATCATTTCTTTGTTCCACTCCTTGCCAGAATCCCCCACCAAATCCTAATCCTTAAGCCCCGAGCCTTGACCCCTAAATCCTAAACCTAAAGCCTTATGTCAAATTCCAAAAAATCTAAACCCTGAAGCCCCAAAAGAAAATCCTAAACCTTAAGCTCCAAATCTCAAACCACAAGCTCCAAAGCTTTACCAGGAGCGCCTAACCTCCGAGCTGGAGCTCTTCAGCCACGCACAGGCCAGTTCTCAAGAAGGGGTTTAGGGCTAAGGGGTTCATGTAGATCCATGATTAACAGCCCCCTCCGTTTAGAGGGCGGTGCGCCGTGGGGCCTGGGTTTTTTAAGTAACATATTTTATGTATACTTATCTATATCAGCCAAGATACTACAGGTATTTCAAATTTAAGTCAACGCACCCTTCTGTCCGTTTAAGGGCCTAAATATGAGGATTCCTATTGTAATCCCTAACTAAGGGGAGTGGGTTTCTGAATCACGGGTTAGGGTTTAGGGTTTGAGGGGGTGTCCTCACAGAGCACACCTTTTCACCCCTTCCCGAAGAGCGTTCCCTAAGGGGCCTCGGTGGCCATGATCGTGAAGAAAGCGCAAGTAGTAGACTCTAAACCCTAAACCCTAAACCCTAAAGTAGAGCAGGAGGCAAGGGAAGAGGCAATGCGTAAATCAACTCCCTGAGCCCTTGTGCATCTCGAAGTTTCAGGGGTTTACTTTCTGGCTGTTAGTATGGGATGGAGTAATTCATGCAAATAGTAGCCCATATATACACAAAATTACTATAGTAGTTTCCACCTTTTTCATTGTGAAGCCTGAATAATGCAGCGGTGTCCATGTCATTTTGTGATGTCTTTTTCAAATTGAGTTTCCGTCCCCTACAACAATCCTAAACCTAAATCAATTGGTAGTTTCCATTTTCTTTTCCATTATCACCAACCCCTAATATAATCCCTATATAACCCCACGATATGGTAGTTTATTTTCTTTTCCATTTCTTTGCTCCGTGCAAAGCTGCGACACCGGCAGGGCATCGATCTGGTGAATGAGAAGCGGCCGGAGGCCGGGCTCTCTGGAGAGGTAGGTGCACTCAAGTTATTATAGGGGCTTAAGTAATTACCAATACTATATATATATATAGGGATACTGGAAAATAAAATGGAAGCTAGTACCTCAAATGGGCCTCAAAAGGATATTGGCAATTTTTTGGCCCTTTCTAGTATACCCAGAGTATTCGGGTTTAGGGCTTTTAGGGTTGGGGTTTGGGTTTAGGGTTGATTAGGGTTTAGGGTTTCGCCCAGTGATTGTTATGGATGACACTAGTGTTTTTTAAGGATACCTTCCTTGTTGGAGAGCTTCTGACAAGCAGGGGGGAGAGTTTTTCATTTGGATCTGAGGGAATGTAGGCACATCAAGCAACTTTACAGTCCGTTTTGGAATATGTACACAAATTGAAAGATTGGGTACTATGAGAAATAATTATGCGCTGCAGGCAGAGAGAGAGAGAGAGAGAGAGAGATAGAGAGAGAGAGAGGGAGGGAAGGAGGGAGGGAGGGAGAGTAGATTCACCATCTCCGCACACTACCTTCTCCAAGATTTCAGACTCAAACCTGAAAACCCTACCTTATCCCCAACAGAATCCCCAGATTATACATGAATCTGCAAATTCTGTAATCTTTTGACAGCCTGCCAGGAAGGTAAGACCGGCGGCTTGAATAGCCGCGGGCCCAGCTCTGAAGCTGCCTTGTTTCGGTTAGGGTTGAAGGCAGTTTTAGGACTTAGGGGCTCAGGTTTGAAGGACTTAGGGTTGAAGGCAGTTCAGGGTGTGGAGTCTGAGCTAAGAGATGGCTTTCGCAGACTTCAGTATCACTTTGGATGCTTTGCTGGTGCTTCTGTCCTTTTGGTACCTTGTTCTGTTTGTAACAGGGCACAGACTACCGTAAAAACATGTTTTTTATTCTAGGGTTGCATGCTTTAAGAGTCATGTTGGCTTTGCAAGAACCCCCCTCGGTCTGATCGATCTATCTCCGTTCTGGGGGAGCCCCGAAATATTGATGCCGACAATGTAGGTTTCAAAATCTATTTTGAATCAAGCAAAATCCTCCCCCCAAAATCAATATTCTCAAGTATGTTATTGTGTTCGGGAAGGGGGATTTTATAAATGTGGTGTGAAGCCAATATTTGTGTTATGCTGACGAATGCCTTCTCTGTGGATATTACCCGCATTTTGTTTGCTGTTCTCGTCATTTAGTCGTTGTGGGTACTGCTGCCATGGTCCATGTCATGCCTTAAGCCTAAAGCCCCCTGGGGCCCTAGAGTTTAGGGTGTCATACAAAACCACGCAGGCTGCATACCGCTTTGCATGGGTCCCCCAACCCAAACCCCAAAATTACCAGAGCCGTTCTTGCAAAGTTGACTGTTGACGCTCCAGGCCCCACAGATTTCAGGGATGCGGGGATGAGCGATGGAGAGATTAGCCCGGGCCTGAGGAAGCTACCACTTGTCTGACACCTGGGTAACCTTCTACCTCTCCAACCCCCCTAACAACAAATGTTCCCCTGGTGTACAATGGCAGTGCTTTGGGAATATCTATTACTGGGGGGGGGGGTGGGGCGTGGTTATTCTTCGTTGAAGTGATGAAGTAGTACACGAGGCAGTCTATTTATCTTGGTTCTGTTAAGTAGTCATGATTGTTTGGAAATGTTGGTGAGCGGAAAACGAAGGGTGTCCATTTGAAGGCCATCAACCAATAGAGACTCAAATGACTGACTTGACGGTCATGGTCATGGTTGTCTACGTACTAATTGCTAGATCAAGTTCCTAGAGAAGTTGCTTCGAGTATTTAGCATATTTTCAAATGCCTGCAGCGCGCGCGGCACTGGTGTGGAAAGGTGCTCTTCGGAAACCCAAGTAAAGCGGAGCACACGTTCAACGTAAGCACGCGCAAGTGAGGGGGCTACAGTTTTATATTTGCGAGGGGAAGGAGAACCTAGAACCCTGTACAACACCTTCATGACCCCTAGATAAACCATCTAAAAGCCTTACATGATAGTTTCCCTAAATATATGGTCCCCCTTAAGTAGATAGGACATGGCTTTGGGCATATTATAATAAGAATCCCATATACCCCATATTCTATCTACTTAAGGGGGACTATATTATGTGGACTCCAACAGAACCTTAAGCCCTAAACCCTAAAACCCTAAAGCCCTAAAACCTAAAACCCCAA